ACCCGCCCGAGTTTCCACAAAAGTTTCCGCAAAACCCTTCCGAGTTTCCACAAAAGTTTCCGCAAAACCCTTCCGAGTTTCCACAAAAGTTTCCGCATAACCCGCCCGAGTTTCCACAGAAGTTTCCGCATAACCCGCCCGAGTTCCCCAAAACTCATGTTTTTGAAGTCGCGAATAATGTGGAAACTCATGCGTTGGAGGCCACGAATAATGTGGGAACTCATGCTTTTGAGGCCACGAATAATGTGGAAACTCATGCGTTGGAGGCCACGAATAATGTGGAAACTCATGCGTTGGAGGCCACGACTAATGTGGAAACTCATGCGTTGGAGGCCACGATTATTGTGGAAACTCATGCGTTGGAGGCCACGAATAATGTGGAAACTCATGCGTTGGAGGCCACGAATAATGTGGAAACTCATGCGTTGGAGGCCACGATTATTGTGGAAACTTATGCTCTGGTGGCCGCCAATGGTGCAGCGTTTCCAAAGTTTAGAATGGACCTAAAAACGTGTTCCGGGCCCTGCCCAAATCTATTTCTCGACTTTGTGCACGCAAGTCTTGCAGCGCTCTGCAAAGCGGCAAACAAGTGCTCCTGACAAAGTTTGCGCAACGCAGTACTCGAAAAAGCTGTTTTTACCGCGACTTTTCCCCTAAAACGATCGACCTGTCATAGGGACTCTGCGCCTTTCCAGCACTGCTTTTCAGCCTGAGTGCGCGTTGCCGCTGGGTTTTTGGACATTGCCTGTTTCAGCCATGCCAATGCCACCAATCGCCGGTCACGTACCAGGCGGCCTTACCTGCCCAGGCAAAATTGCCTCGATGGCTCCGGCCTTTTTTACACTCCGAAGTCACCCGTCTGACATGATTGCTTTGCGGTAAGGTAGGGCGGCCGCTGCACTGCTGCACTATTCTGGTAAATGCTCACTGATTGGTGGTCTCTTCTCCGGCAACAACAGGCAACATCATGCTGGGCGGGGAGACCAGCGTTTTGGTGTTCATAAAATCAGGCAGCTGCGCCGGCGCAGCCTTCAGCAGCTATCGTAAGTACGTACCCGCACACACACACACACACACACACACACCTCATGCCTTTCCATGCCTTTCCTGTGTCTGGCGCAGCTGGCAAAAATTAACACATTCAGTACCACAACTGTCATGTTGATCAGCTTTATGATGTCTCTTCTTAATTTGTTCCTCAGGCATTGCAAGTTCTGCGTATCGGATCGACTGTCGACTCATGCGATGCGCTCCTTTTATTTAGCAATTCTACATCCGCAGAGAACCGGCAGTTCGGGGTCGGGTGGGGAGGGGTTCCCCATTGATCCTCCTCCCGTCGGAAAACATGCCTGCCCTTGGGCGCCGGTCTGCCTCATCCGTACAGGACTGCACCTCGAAGCCCTGCACCTCCCCCGTGATCTCTTCCAGCTTTCGGACATATCATTCCTAGCATCTGGCATATGCTAGCATAAGATGACCACCTGCAAAAAACTCTGGTTGAATAGTGACCATTTGTCGGTGTATGTGTGTGATTGCTCGCAAGATGCGGTAAGCGTGTGTGCTGTTTCGCACTGTGTGCAGTCGCTCTCCTACACGGAGCCCACGAGCGACGGCACACGCATTGTGCCTCGTCGCATTTGGAAAGCTGGTTTATCCGCATATAGCCGCACGCTAGGACATCATGATGGCTTGATGTGACTCTCATATATGACATGCTGGGTCTGTGTGTGCGAATGCGGAACGCATCGGAACACACAAGTACACGGCCTTCATTTGCAGCTTGCTCCAACACTGTGTCTGCCCAGCAACGTCGGCCTGTGACGCTGGCTCTTTGCTCGAGGTTCTTCTATGCAGGACTCTGTGCGGCGATTTCTACTACACTGAGCGGCACCAGGAAATCAATGCATCCCAGCTTCGCAACTTGGAACCGACGAAGTTAAGATGTGTGAGGGTGACAGACGCATGTCCGGAAGCCAGCCCGTTGAGCTTTGCATGAAAATGCATGAACAAAGCTGCAGATGTCGGCTGCTTTCAGCAAAGTTGGCATCGTAATGTGAGCTCGTGATTGGTAAAGGCCCCCTCAATAGAGCTAAACTCGGGCTGCACGATAATAACCCCCCCCTCAATAGTCGTAATTCTCGTCCTGGCTTTATTTTTTATAGGTTTAAGTAAAGAACCACTCCTACTACAAAGTGACGCCCTGGAAAAGGAGAGACAGAGACAGGCAAGATAGAGGAGACACAGAAAAGAGAGATAGCCAGACTTAAAGCTTAGGGAGCCTGTACTACTACTACTACTACTACTACTACTACTACTACTACTACTACTACCGTTGTGGTGTTTTCCATTGGGATGCTCTTGTGACTAGTGACCCTTAAGTCCCCGCGGAGCTGTCATTGGCGTGCCATGTGGGTGACAAAAACTACTACCACTACTACTACTACTACTACTACTACTACTACTACTACTACTACTACTACTACTACTACTACTACCACCACTGTACTACAACTGAGAGCCCCGGCCCCCAAACAACTTAGACCCCGGCCCCCAAACAACTAGAATGATCAGGGAGGCGACCCCCCCCCCACCAAAGCGGATTCCGGTTGTTCGGGGGGCGGGGGTTACTAATCAGGAAATCACACTACTTGCAATTCATTGACCGTCCATGACTAAATCTGATCGACGGCCAGCCCCAGGTGATGCTCAAGGCAAGCATTCAGTGCTCGCAAATCCAGAGCGTGCCTTACCGCAGTTAGACGGCCAGGCTTTTCGAGCTTTGCGCGCAGCTAACACACAATGGTTATAGGCTGCTGCTCACTTCAAGTCATTTTACGCTTGGTCGCCTTTGCACAGACCTGCAAACCGAGGGAAAGGTCCGCGAGAGTTCATCGTGCCAACCGCGGACCAGGTGTACCCTGACGCCGTGAAAGCATTAGCTCAGCAGTGCCACTATCACTGCTCTTACGCCTTTGACAAATACAGTACCTGACTCACTCTCTGCCAAGGAGTTTATTCTGGAGCTCAGTGTGAAGGATTGGGAGCCGCCTCCGCCTGCACCAACGGCCTGCAAGAGTAATCGTTTTGACTAGAGGGGTAGCGACACAAGAAGTCGGATCTGACTGAGGACTTCGTAGATGCGCAGATAAGCCGCGCAATCCAAACTGTTTCTGATATTGGCGAGGCTTACTCGAAACGGCCTTCCTGAAGACTGTGCAGCTAAGGTACTGCTGCAGAAGACCAAGCTACAGGTCCAGGTTCCCCCAGGCCGATGGCGAAATCCGAGTTGACTCTTCCAAGCCTGTTCGATGTAGTTCTTGGTGTTCCTGTGTGTCCGAACACATCCGAATGTGACCGTTTTGAGGTGTGGGGCCTGGCAGCTTGATCGCAGTCCAGGCCCCGGCCTCGGATTGCTGCAAAGAACTGGAAAGTGGGGGGATCTTCCCGGCCTCGAAGCACTCCAGTTTTCCCGAGGCTCCCGATGGCCGCCAGGTCCAGGTCGTATTGCCGCCAGGCGCTGTACCTGGTGCTACGCCACTCGGATGGCTGCAGAGAACTTTGGAAAACGTTTCCACAGATCTGGGCCGTGCCGACACAACCGGATCCCAGGCTCGAGCTCGAGGTCTGAGCCACATTTGCCAAGCTTTTCCCCGTGCACTGCACCTTGGGCTTGATCTCTGTGCCGGAATCGTGAGTGTGGCGAGTGTGAAGGGAGTATAGAGTCTTGCTGTCCAGGGCTTGGCAAATTAGTCCGAAGATTGCTTGTTTCGGTTCGGGCTGGGTTTGCAGGTGCAGGTGTGATGTGTCAATGTGCCAGTATGGAACAGGACTTTCTGTCCGACTTTCATTCGATTTACCTGAAGGGTGTAATCAATCTTCATCCGTAGATCGTTTCGAGATACTGCACAAGACAGGCTTGAAGGGCTGACGGGGAACCTTCATGTTCATCCCGGCAACAAAATGCAACTGCTCTTAAGCTCGAGTCGCCTCGCCTCCTGTAAGATCCGCAGAGCGTCCTAGGCCGGCGGCTGTCCTGAAAGTGTAGTTGCTTCCCGGACGGGCTTAGGGCAGTGTTTTTCTCGCTTACGTTGGGATGCAGGAATGCGCCGTTGACTCCCCGATGGCCAGCTGCCGAAGGGCACAATGTGACAGGCCTTCGTCGATCTCACGTACGGCGCGCAAACTTGTCCGGAGAAATCGTCAAGCCGAAAGCTGTGAAGCCTGTTCACGGATGGGAGGGGTCAGGATCACAAGACTTGGAAGCTTAGCAATGAGACCACTACACAGCCAATCCTGAAGATGTGCTTAACAGGGAGGGCCGGAGTTTTATGTGGCAACTGCCTTCCAAAGCCCATTTTATGCATTGCTCGCCCATATTTAGACAACGCAGGCTGGCTACCGTTCGGCTGGCCGTGGTTTGATCTGCAGCTCACGTGTGTAGCTGTTTCGAAATTTACATTGATTCCGGGGCTAAGTTGGTGGTGATGAGGTGTTTATTGTAACTGATGGAGACAGTCAGCCCTTCAATCTGGCAGCTGAACCGTCTCAATAGACTGAAACGGCAAGCAAACCTCACGAAGCTGTGTCCACTTGGACTGGAAAATGAATTCCGCTGGTTAGCTAGCTCCTTGACCACACATATCATTCCCCAATGCATGCGCCCACTTCCTTTCAACTTTTGAAGAAGGGGGTGGAACAAGGTTAGAGTCCGAACCAGGCAGATGAGAAGTTGAAGAGAGGTCGAATGCGGGATGCTTGAGTGTTCTGAGGTTGCCTGGAACCGCGGTTCTGCAGCCTTTTGGCTCGGGCACATGAAGCCACAAAGGGTCTCAGGGCAAGCAGCACCGACAAACGAGACTTCAGACCCTGACATGCGCTCAGGATTGGAGGGGCAGGCATAGCACAACTGTCGAGCCCTGTTTCAAAAGTCACTCATAGCATTGAGCCAAGATCATGGCATGTGACACAGTTACTTTCGGCTTTACCGGCGCGGACGCAAAATGGAAGTAGCACCGGCCATTTCCCGACCCAGCTGTCGTGGATTGGACTGCGCCGTCGGTGCAATCAGATCTCCAGCCTTCGAAGCCGCCAGGATAAAGGCTGGCCAGAGTCAGTCTAGCTTGCGCTCGGCCTTTCTCGGTGCTCCTCCCCGACATCCCCCAACGATTGAAGGAAAAGGTGGGTTTCGCAAGTCAACATCAACGCGCCGCTTGGAGGCTGTGCTCCCGCACAAACTTCGCTGGGCATCATCCGCACTGTGCATACCCTTGGCCTTGAATCGCCTGGCACCCAGCTCTGCCCAAACTGGATGGTGGCTTCGGGCTGGAGTCCTCGCAGGCAGCACGAATGCCAAAATGGCTTGCCCAATGAGTCAAGTTCCCAGGCATCAGACGGTGGAGGCAGCAGCCCCCAGCGCGCATCCGCAGCTCTGCAGCGCAGGCTTGGGATTGGTCGCGATGCGATCGACCACAGACCTAGGAAGGTACTAGCATAGCAATTCAAGGGAGGCTTGAAGGGGGTGAACAGTTTTTAGCTTCTTCGTTTCCAAGAATCAGGCGCATTCGTGTGGTTTTCCCGTTTTGTTTGTCGACAACACGCTCCAATAGTGTTTGACTTCATTTTGTGTTGAAGAAGACGTGTCAATACATTTCTTCGCTTTAGAAAGGTTAACTCATGGTTCGCGGCATTTTCTTCGTTCTTGACTCCTTTCAAGCGAAGACGTTTGGCCTTGTTGTTTGTCGGAGAAGACGTTTCAATTGTTGTTTATTGTATCTCGCTTTCTTTGCTTTGAAACCCCCCAAACCGAATTGTATGGCTTCTTCCGTCTTGTTGAGATGTATTTCTTGGCTTCTAGCCCTCAAAGCGAATTGGAGTGGCTTCTTTTTCTGTCGGAGCAGACGTTTGGATTTTATTTGCCTGTATGTTCTGAGCTTTTGCCCTGCTAAAGAGGATTCGGGTAGCCTCTCCTTCCTGTCTGTTGGAGAAGACGTTTGAATTTATTCGTCGTTTTGGAAAATCATTCACTTTGTGTTCTTCGCTTTTTACTCCCCAAAGCGAAGACAAGTAGCTATCCCCCCCTTTGAAGCCCTTCTTGAAGCCTCAAGCACCCCTTGAAGCCCTCGGCCCTTCGTTCCGCCCCCCTTCCCCCCGGGAGGGCTCCGCGAAGGGAGCACTGCTCCAAACTGTGAAAGTTAGTTCTGCCGGCAGGTGCCGCTGGAGAAGCATCTCTGGGAAGCAGGCAGGACAAGAAAGCCTTGCTGAGAGAATAACCGCAAAGGAGTTTTTCCCATACAGTCCGCCACAGCTGCAAAGAAAGCGGCGCGGCCGTGAGCAATTTAGCAAAAACCATGACCGAAGCAAAGCATTCCGACGGCAGCATGTTCATTGTGCTACTCGTCGTGACGACTGACATCAAACGGATCTTACAGTGCATGGGTTGCAGCAGCCCGCAGAGGCAATTCCTACGAACTGCTGGAGGTGTGGCTCGGAACTGCAGATCTATGCAGAGCTCTGCTAGGCTCTCTAGACCGTGCCACATCCCACATGGCCCTGATGGCACTTCTCTCGAGTTCTCAAGGCCGAATTGCACACAGGCAGCCCCAGCACGCTGTTAGCTTGAGCCTGCCGAATCATTGAAAACTGCGGGAGAGTTACAGACACTGGCAGATCCAAGGCCTGTTCGCGGAGGAGATCACACAGTCAAGCTGAAGCAGTATGCAGTATCTTGGATGAAGCGGAGGGTGAAGACGCTTCCACTGTCTAGAAAGGTGCCAACATTGCACACCTCAGTTTGCACCTGCCGGTCCACGCTGCCCTAAGACGACTTTCGAAGGAGCAAGGCAGATCCGGTGGGGCAGCTGTTCTCGTCCTTCACGACGGACCTGGACTGCCTTCCCGGCAGTTTGGCTTTCAATTTCACGCCGCAATAAAGCCACCTTGAGCGAGCTTCGTCAGGCGGCACACGGTGGTGGCGGGGAGTGAATACAACGGTTCATGACCGCGCAGGAACGAGTTGGTTCACGGAGGGTGTTGTAAAATTCTTCTAACCTACGGACGTCGCGTTCAAAGATGCGTGTTCCAAAGATCAGGTATCTGGAGCCTCTAGCGGCGAGACTCTGCACTGGCAGACATTGCTTCATGCGCCTCGGATTATCCAGGTCTTGTTTTATTAAAGAGTCTTTGTCTAGAGAGCGGCTTGCACCGGCTCTGAATGATGATGCAGATGCCAGGCAGTTCAACGACCTCAGACGGATTGTTACGCCCGACACAGCGCAAAGAAACCAAGCAAGGTACGATCAATTGGGCTGCGGTGCCTCTGCAACTGATCCGACTCTCGAAGAGGAGGTTCGTCGGTCTGTCCCTGTTGCGATTGCCAGAATATAAACCTTGAGTAGCTGTTTCAGCGGTTCGAAACAACCGTTGGCCAGCTGCGCAGCTTCTGTATTGGAACAGCACTAATTGGGGTGGTCGATTGTCCAGCTGTCCTGGCCTGCCACAGGACGGGATCCACAATGCTGTGGCGGATCTCTGCGATGTGCTCTCGTTCCTTCGTGGATTTGGGCAGGTCGCCTGGGAATTCGGCAGGTCGTGTCTAACTGTTGTATGATTCTATCTTTTCTAGGGGCAGTAAAGCAGCCAACAAGGAACGCGCACAGTTACACAAAGGCCCCACGTAAGGGCAAGGGCTGCACAGTTTCCCCTCTACGGGAGACCTTGCCTGTCTTTCTGCTCCGCCAGGACGAAATCCATGTCCTGGCGCACGGATATGGAGGCAAGAGCTGGGTAATGAGATGGATGGTGATAGATGGTGATTGCCTCCTGCATCCTTCGTCCTTTGACGTTGATAGTACAAGTCGCACAAGGTGCTCTCATCATGGAGGCTCTTGTCCGAGATCGACTGTGGAGCGATCCAGACAGCACGCTACCGAAGTTGAAGTCGGTCTGCTTGAACTTTGGTGGCAAAGGCGAAATCTCCAAGGTAAACCTCGCCTACAGGCAACAGGGGTTGTCCGAATTTCGCAAGGATTGGCGTGGCCAGCAGCACCGCAGGGGCAGACGCCGAGGCCCTGAGTCACGTATTGAGAGTCTGACGGGGGCGGAACAGCGAAACAGGGAGCTTGACGGATCGATTGATGCCTTCACAAAAGCTAGCAAAGCTTTTCGATCATGCCGCCTTCTCTTGCCGTCATACTTCACCTGTGGCATGCTGCGAGCTTTTGCAGGGTACAGTCGGCACAGGCGCATTTCACAGATCGAATTTGTCTTTGAGTCTCTGTCCTGCACCGAATTTCCAGAAGTCCTGCGAGGCCCGGTCTCTGATGGAAGCCTGTGTCTGCGGCTCAGCAGTTCCACCTCAGCACAGCTCCACAAGCCTTACCATGCCCCTGCAGCTTAGATAACATGTAGGTGAAATCGCTGTGCGGGTGCACGTTTTTCCACGACCAGACTCTGAACACACAACCCAGGTCACAGACATTGGAGACTCAGATGCAGCAAAGTCCTTCTGGTATCGCTACTTGGACGACAACGCACCATCTATGAAATAACGCGAGGCTTTTACCTTGTTGCACCCAGTCTCGGGCCAAGATCGCAGAGGGACTTGCGACAATGTTTACTTCAGAGATGCACCAATCCAACATAGGCAGGTGGCACTGCATTCTGTCAAACTGACACATCATGCAAGCAAGGCCACGTTTGTGCACTGAAGCCGCAGCCGCAGTGCCTGGCTGAGGCCATGCGAACGTGTGAAGAGGCTTTCTTTCTCTAAGCCGAACCCTCATTGTCGGCACAGGCTTACAAGTCGAGCTTCGGCCAGCGATGGGGACCTCTGCGTGGCTGCGAAGCTCAATTTGGTTCGGGTTCCCCCAACAAGACGTCTCGGATTGTTTTGAAAACACGTCTGTTCTCAGGCTGGGACTGGAAGCTGGAAAGCCCCGACGGGACACTGGTGGGACGTTGGGCCCTTCGGGGCAAAGGCGACACTTTCCAGGGATCGCTTCTTAGGAGACCCGCACCCCCGGCCTCCACAATGAGTCACACACTTCGCTCCTTGAAGGCGCCATTCCAGATTGGAGTTTGACGCGGGCAGAGGTCGAAGCTCTCTACACCAAAGACAAGGTGGTTGTGGAAAGCAACGTCATCTGATGTCTGTCTGAGTGATGTCTAACCTTCAGTTTCGAACAGACCATCTTTGCGATTCAACTCGCTGTGACGAGGGAAATCCCTACCCTGCAGGCCGGCTTGCCTCCAATTCTCTGCTTGAGAGGGCAGCACGACTTCGTGACAAAGGTGGGAGGGGGGGTGCGTTGCATTCTGGGACGAGAGCAATTCATGCAAGCTAACACTCTGCATGGTAGCCACTTAAGCGGCCGTCCTTGTAAAGCTTGCCATAGAGCCCCAAGCTAGTGCGCACCGGTTACCAAATCAGGACCCGCCTGGCAGGCCATTGCAACGACTGACCTTATAAGAGTTTCGAGGGCTGATTGGGCTCTGAGCTAAACTTGCGTCAAGTAGCCCCCCAGGACTGTTTGGATGCGTGGCGTGGTGTCGAAGACGCCCGTGGCATAGCCAGTGGCTCCTTGGACTCCTTGCCGTTTCCGTACTGTCTCTGTGGCTGCAGGAAAGCCTGCCTTCCTGCCCTCAGCCTCGTATACAAAGTGATTTGCAAAGGTTGCACTCTTGGTTGTATGCGTTGCCCAGCAGGCCGACGGTATGTCCTTCATGTCCGTCCTTCCAAGTTTGCTGAGTACTCTAGATGCCCCTCAATGTTTGGCTTGTGGGCTCTGCAGCACGGGTTCAAGCTTATCTGGGAAGAGCCACATCCGGTGTTTGAGAAGTGCAGCTTCTTCAGAGAACCGCTTTTTCAAAAACGATTCAGGCGGCAAGCCTTTGCGTTCTCAGGCTTCTTCACGGAGCACGAATTGGGCGGCTGCGGCCACCATGCGCACCTGGAAGCTCCGGAGACTTGGCTGTAAGATTCGTCACAAAGCCGCAAGGCTCAAGACATGAGGTGGAGCAGGAGAAACTCAAAGCAACGAGACTCCAAAGGCGGGTACCAACTCGACATGTTCCATCATATTCCAATAGCCGCCCAGGACTCCGTGGCTGCCACGCTGCGTCTTTGGTTACTTGATGTGGAGGCCGATTGCAGGGGGATTTCGCCACTTTGAAATGGCGAATGTGTTGATATGTGGCTTCCATGCTGAAGTTTGTACCGGCAGTATGGAAGACAGCGGGGCTTTCATGTGTACAGCTAGTTGTTTCTTCTACTTCTACTTCCACAGGGCACCTCAGGACCTGCAGCCCATCTTCGGCAAGGCTTATACACAGACCCAAAATTCAAAATTAGGCAGACGTTGGACTCGAGCATGCATTTTGGGGGTCGTGTTAGCATCGCCATGCATCATCTCATGTCCAACGATCCAGCTCGCAAACACGAACCTCACAGTCTGTTTTGCATCACGAGACCCGCAGATCATTTAAAGCCTGATTGGGCCATCGACCTCCAGAAACACGTCCCAGGATGGCGGCTTGTTCCGCAGCGATGTGCCGAAGCCTCCTCCAGAGCAGTGTGCGGTGAGAGCACACTGTCGACCCCTTTGGCGTCAGCCATGCTCAATCCAGTACGGGTTACGCTTTGTTCGTTTAACTTTGAAAAGCCGCCGGATTGCAGAAACACCGCGCGCAGTTGACCGCTGAGGCGAGGAGGCAAGGCGTGCTCTGGCAGACTGGGCCTCGCAGATGTGCGACCTGGCAACAGTGGGGACGTGTCGGGACTCGTATTTGCCGCAGACTTGCCGTTTATTGTCTCTTCGGCTTTGCTGCGACGACAGGCTGGGAATCGGCACGGCAAGCACCAGACAGGCCCGGGGCCTGGCGCTCTGTGGGCCAAGGCCCGACACGCAGCTGTCGCAGCAGCCTCGACCATTACATGGCAATGGCGATTGTAAAATGTTTTTGCCTTCGGCTGCAGGCCTCCCTCATCGAGATGCCTTCGCACCATCACGCACTGCCCGGCGACTGGCGGAGTGGGCTTGGGAGCTGCCAACAGAAGAGCGACTGGGCAAGGCTCTGAAAATCACGTGTCATCTCCGGGCTGGTTCATGACAACATTGATCTTGAACCAGAGTTCACAGCTTGAAATTCTCAAAGGCTTCACACAAGTGCTTATGGGGCGCCATGCCCTTGATGCGGGTGCAAGCCCCCGAAGGCTTCACTCGCACTAGACGCCATTGAGCACTGATTGGCCGAGGTCCCGTGCCACGGCCAAGTCCGACATGTTCGAAGTCGCCAGACAGTTGAAACAAAGCGTACACTGCTCCAGGGCGGTAATTTCCAGAAGCTCGACTCTTGCTGTGGCTTGCTGGTCGGTTGATCTTAGAGGCCGGAGGGCCGGCACAGGTACGACTTTGCAGGATTATCGCCACTGCCAAGGGTTGCTATGAGCAAGATTCAGAAATTTCAATCTGGCCGCATTGTAAGCACTATGTCGGGGTCAAGAGTACCAGCTCAGGTCTCGACCATTGGCTCGCTCTTGGAGGCATGGGCATGCTTCACACATGTTCCACCTCCAGCTTTTCTCCACACAGGGGGTGCTTTGCTGGTACTTACTGTTACTTACTTGTATGAGGTGGCTTGAAATATTGACGATGCAGAGCACAGGCTGACTGAGCACTGCTATCCGGATCGCACGCCAAGAAATAAAAGCATCCGGAGATGAGCCAGCCCACTCAACCACAAGAGTTTGCAGCGAACCAAAGTACCGTAGCCGAGCTGCGGCGCAGGATCCACCGGGTCCGCTTGCAGATGCAGCCAGACTGGCTTTGGCTGTCCTCGGTGATGAGGACTGATTCCTCGCCATCACTTTCCGCTTCAAGTCCGCTCCAGATCTGCCAACACAATGTATAGTGTGTGTCCGTATGTGTGGCTTGGCTTCTGCCCGGCAGGAGCCGTCCTCAGTGCTGGCGATTGCTCGGAGCTGAGCTTCCTCGCCAGCTTTGCACGGAGACGTTGAGACAGCTTCAGTTACAAAGCCACCTCTGACACGCGAGGTCTGTCTGGAAGCAGTCGCTGGCAAATCAAGATCATTCCGCATCGTGGGGGCTGCTGCAGATCCCAAAACCAAGGACGGCGAGCGAGCTACGTCCGCAAGCTGTAGGATCAAGATTGCTGCGCACACTACTTGGAGCAGCAGCAGGCAATTAAGTTACGCATCAATGCCCCCTCCAAACTTAAACTCTAATAAGCTCAGACTCATTGCGCTTACGGTGTTTTGGTTCGCAGGGGCCGTCGACGGGTTTCGGAGGGAGTGGTGTGCACATGCCAGGCCGTTGCCATCCTTTTGGATATTTTGGAGGGGACTTGCAAATGGTCCAGCTGTCACGATGCGCAAACATGCACAGCGTATGCGGTCTTCTTGACACTCTCGAGGAGGAGGTTGCATATGTTCGCCACTTCGACAGTCGAGGGCCGTAATGCAAGTAGTATGAAGGGCTTTTGGAATCCTGGAAGGCCTCAGAAGCAGCATGCAGAGCTCCCTCGATCCGGCTAAGGCGTTTGTGAAGAAGTGGTGCGAGAGGTGAAGTCCAGATTCGCCTAGCCTAGACCATAGTCACGCTCGAAGTTAACGCCAAGCGGCGGCTGGCTTCGTGAAGTGCTTGAGATTTGCTGCAGTGAACCAGGAAATTTGTAGGAGCATGTGAATAGCACATCTCAAGAAGCAAAAGCTGCCCAGACATGTCAGCCAAAGGCTTGAACGATTTGTAAGAAGTCCGCCCTTCTATGTACGTCTCTCTTCGAAGACATTTGGTTGGTTCTCAGCTTGAAGGCTGATGTTGTACGCAATTCGATGGAGTCCCACCATTATGCTCAAGGCATTGCTGGCTCAGCACGCGAGAGCACGAAGGGTAACATGTCCTTCTGTCAAGGCCCTTCAACGCTGCGTACTCAGCAAAACTCCCTGTGGGAATGTATATTGCTTGCTGATAACTATTTCGGCTTTCTTGCAGTGGACCGGTTTGATGAGCCAGCAAAGTGTATGCTTCATGAAAGTTTCATGATGTTAAGACGTTCGTTCCTGGCTTTGTGGTCCACTCTTGCAAAGCTTTGCCGTCGGCCGAGTGAAGAGCACGGCTGAGGCTAAATTGATTTAACACCGCAGAGCGAAATATCACGCCCCGACCCCCATTTGTACGCGAGTGGGAATCTGACATTCACATGATGCAGCACTTCAGACTGGCTTCATGGAAGAGTGCGTCAAAGCAGTGTTCGTTGCTTCAGATTTCCTGCTTCAAGCCGGTGAGGGTGTGTAGGTCTCCACATTTTCTGGTCAGCCGCGCTGAGCCCACAAGCCGGGACTGCATGACCACAATCGTTCAGGGGCAATTAGGTGAAGCCACGTGGCTGGACGGGCGGGCAAAAGCCCGCTGCTGCAAGCAATTGTGTGAGTTTGGGACAACATGGCACGCAAACTCTGTCACCGTCCCAACTCGTCCCGGGGCCACAGCCATGATGCCAAATTACGTGTCGCACATTGGAGTTTAGGACTGTGCCTCTGCAGCAACGGGACGCCCCAGCCAGGAAGTTGCAGCCACACCGAGCTTCTATTGTAGTTGAGATTCCGTAGAATTCTCGGTGAGAATCTACGCAGAAACAGAGGAATTAGTTGACCTGAGCTTACCTGCCGGTTTGCCGTCTCTGTTTCTGCTCCCTTTGCCAAGCTTCGGGGTCAGTAAGTGCCGCCCAGAATCCAAGCTACAATCCGCCACGTGGTAGACATTTTGGTTCAGCACAAGAGCTGCAAGCCCGTCTGCAGGGGATGAGGAATGAGCTAAAGCCTCGTAGATTCACTGCCAGTATTGTTGGTTGCCGCAAAGCTTCCGCCGGCTAGCGTGGTTGACTGCACATTGAGCTGAAGCTAGCAGCTAGCTTATGGTTGAAGCCGTTTGCCCGCCGTGCAATGTACCAGGCTTCTCAGAGCCCTGAGGCTCTTGAGGATCGCAAGGCATCAAGGCAGCACAACAACACGATTGATTGTATTGACTTTGTGGTCGTGAGGCTATCCAACTGGTGGCTTCATTCCTTTCGTTCCTGTAGATTTCAAGCAAATCCTGGCGGATGCCAAATTGGTTGATCTGTTGAGTGTCCTGTGCCAGGCACAGAGCCACGAGTCCGAGTGGCGCAGGGAATGAGCGCTGAGTGGGTTTGCCAGTCACTCGGTGAGCACTGCCAAACACTGGCACTGGCGCATGAACCTCGGATTCCGCGCTTGTTCTCGGAAGCGTGGTTTTACCTCACATGTGATTGCTGTGAGAAGGGCGCCCCTTTTTGATGCACAATGCTTCGAGCAACTTCAGTAGTATATCTACAAGCAGCCAAGCGGCGAGACTTTCGTTCGATATAAAAGCTTGCTCCGGGCATGCACCATGCCCATGTAGGGGGGAGAGCGAGAGAGAGAGAGAGGAGGGAAACCTCTACACCATAGCCCTGGCGAAAGAAAGAGAGAGAGAGAAAGAAAGCGAACTACCGACATCCCGACGACGACGACGACGACGACATCGTGAGTGAGAGACTTCTTCAAGCGGAACAGAAGAATGCATAGCAGCACCTGTTGAGCAGCATCCAGATCGCTGAGGGTCGAGTGGCATGCTGTAGGCCGTAGGTTGGCAGAGGTAGCCCACTCTGCGATCGATCAAGCTTCGTACCTGGATCGAATCTGCGGCACCCAACTGCCACCTCAATTCAGCTACTCACTGTAAATTGAGAGGGCTGGGCCCGGCCCCGACAAGCCTTGGCCTTTGCCGTCAGGTTCCCCTCTTGCAGCTCTAGCGCTGCTCAGCTGGCGGAGCTGCGGCGCAGACATCCAGCCGGCTTCGCTCATGATGAGGACTGAGCTTCCCGAGAAGTTTCTGAGTGCAACTGTCATATTGCTTGGGGTCCATCCGCGACACCCCCCCGGACCCCGCAATACAAAAGATTTCGGACATGTGACCCCGGGTCCAAACCGCTCGTGGGGGTTGCACCTGATGTGCCCTGCATGCGATGTCTGCTGGTTTGGCGCCTGGAATTCGTGAATTTCTTTATTCGAGCCATGCCTGTGCGAGCGAGGTCTCCCAACTGCCCATGCCACCCCCTCTGGGACTGCTGCAACTGCACTGCAAGCTGCGTGTGCGCCGTTATAACAGTCACCTGTGTACCCTGGGATGGCCGAGTGCAAGTGTGGGGTGTATGCCGGACAGCTGTCGGACGGTTGTCGGAGGATTCCTGTCCACAGTGATGGTATGAGGTGCCTATTCGTCCTTGACAGACAGGGCTGCTATGCGTGAACGTCTCTCCCTCTGAGGTTTGCAGTGTGAAGTCGATTTGGTGGTGCGGCATGTCGAGTCTGGCGCGTAGTGCCTGAGAGTAGTGCCTGAGTGTTAATGTTTACCCCGACTAATGTGTTGGGAGGAGCCAATGTGCTTTCGCTGGTACTGGGATCCTCGCTGTGGTTTGTCCGAGTGCGAGTGCTGAAAGAGAAATGTTCCCGTCCCTCGCTGCTTCATTCTATTCTACCCGCTCAGACCCTGCGGTCCCACTTGCCGCGGTCACTGCGGCTGCATCCCCCGCAGTTCCTGCAGTCGTACGTTCAACAGCTGTAGTGCTGCTGCCTAATTAAGACTACTCGTTCGAAGCTTTGGTAGCAGGGGGCCTTTAATAACGGGAGGAAGCCATTATTGGTCGCTCTGCACAGCATCTTGCTTCCTCGATGGGTTTCCGTCCTAGGGGGCAGGCTTTCTCCGAGTGGACTTGCTTGTGATTCTGGAAGCGCGGGTCGGATCACACGATTGATGGCAGACAGACGCAGGACATCCCAGGACAATAATGTCAGAACCCACCAAACGTGCCAAAATCTCGGGCTCTGATTAAGAGCAGAGTCGCCAAAGCTATTTCCCGGAGCTGCTGGCAGGACCCCACCATGCGCGTGTGCACAGTCCGCTGGCTGCACTTTTTTCGCTAGTGGTCTGCAGGATTCATGTTGCCGTTTGCCCCCTTCGTTGCACCTGTTCACTGTGGGGCATGGGAAGCGTTTTGTTTAAGTGGCTGGTGTGGCATGTGGCTTCAAGGACAGACCGAAACGTCAACAGAGCAAGTGCCGGCAGGCGTGCCGTCGTGTACTTTCACAAGCGCGCTCAGTGCACCAAGGTTTGTCGACGGCTGCCTTTGCCTGCGAAGCAGGAACGGTGCATGCTGCACAGACACAACAGTCACAACATGTGCTGGATTCAGTTTACCATGTACCAGAAAAGCTATATGAACCCCGACGCCAATCTCAGATCCTCCATGCCAGAGGAGGACCCGCCCCTCGATGACAGCTTTCTTGCCGGAATCAAGGAGGCATGCCGGCTTGGAATGGTGGGCGACATAATGACTTTCAGCAGGCCGATAGGGTTTGCTTTTGGGGCACAGTGAGATGCGGCACAACTGGACCTCGCGTCGGCTGTTTCTGAAAGCCTCCTTTGATGAACTTGGGGGAAGGGGTCTCTTTCCCACGGCTGCAACAGGAACTGGCTTCCATTGAAGAAAGCGAACAAAATATACAGGCTCTTTCGCAGGCCGCTTGGCGACAGTGCAGGAGATTGCCCTACCGCGTATGGCAAAGAATCGGCCTGTCGGTACTAAACCACACCGGAAGAGCTAGTTGGCATACCTGCAGGCTCTGAAAGGGGTTTGGTAGCTGGGGCAGCTGAGTTCAAAGGACGTGCCATTTCGTCTCTAGGTTTCGGCATAAATGCACCAGCTTTGAAGCAGGTCGCGTTTCCAGTCGTAAGGTCTTCCGCTTCTATGCCGGGAATGCAAGGCAGCTGGCACAGCTGCTCGCGGACTTCCTCATGAAGCATCGGGTCTATCAAGATGTGTAAGACAAGAGCTGTGAGGGCCGGAGAGGATTGATCTAGGTGCCGAGTTCTGCCTCAAAGGCAGTGCTTTCCATGGGAGCTGATCCATGCATTCCACCTTCTGGACGACATCTTATTGCTGCCTGTCTGGGGCATGCTTTTGGCACGGGTTGGCCTTCGAAAGCCTCTGCAGGGGGGGTTTAGGAAATTTCATCTAAAGCACCCAATTGCCTCCGCTGCACGTGTAGTCATGTGGTTTGAGCGAGAGGATCGGGAAAGACTTCCATGGTTTGTGCTTCCCGTCATGCTTCAGGGCTGTTTGTTTCGTCGAAGCAAGAACCCATGCTGGGGACGACAGGTCAACAGAAGAAAGGATGGCTTGAATCCAAAGCCCCGAATACGACACAGCCGCACAGCCGGCGCTGGACCATAGGATGTGAAGCCCGTCGCCCAAGGGCACGCCAGCCGACTTCCTCAGAGGCGGTCCTAAAAGTAGGTTCAATTTGAGAGATGTCCACGGACGCTAAAGATCGATCCGTGCCACATAACACGTATCTACACACGGGAATCTCGTTGATGTCAAGGCCTGCAACGTCCGGTTGTTACTTGCGCCTTCACAGACTATCAGCATGATTCAAGCGAGCAGTTCTGTCATGACCAGCTGATGAGGTTCTTCTCGACTTGGGGCCACTAGATACCGAATTCTAGAGCGCTCTAGGTTCAGTGGCGTGTACTTGTGTCGCAGGTTGCATGCTACACATGCTTCGGCAGCATCGTATTGTGTATGTTGCTCGGCCCTTCAGAATCCGAGGCTGGACAACACCGGATCCTACAAAGCCGAGCTGTCCGACCGTCCACCGGGCTGGCAAGACCTGACAGGATTTTCTACATGATATGTATCTATACATTGTATAGATACATATATATATATATGATGATGAAAGAGGGTGCAAAGCCAATATGCACACATGAGACGGATCTTCGTTGGAGGTGTTCTTGCCTCCGCTGCGACCTTGACTTCGCACCCACACCCAGCTTCGGCACGTCATGTTTTGGGTTCGATTCTTGTCGCTTGAGCACACCCGCCCTGACAACTCGCGGCGCATTCAGCCAGTTGTTCAGTCAAAGCGCTGTCGGTCGCTGTGGGCGATTCCAAGTATTCCGCGGTCCGGTCAGATTCGGGTCGTCAAGGCTCGACATGTTGGGAGCCTCGAAGATACAGCCTGTCTCACTCACACGACCTTCCAGATGCCCTGCTGGATCGGAGCCATGCAAGCTCCTTCTGAGTCTGAGTTTCGCTTGTGTGCGTGTGTGTATGTGTTTGTGCTGCTGTTTCTTCGACATGAAAGTCTCGCCGGAGCAGTGGCAGCAGCAAGCACTAAAATCTCTTCTTTCTCCACCACCGTGCGGAGGCAGCCGTGATGCACATGTGCTGTAGTGTTTTTCTCGTTTGAATGCTTCGGCTATTTCTGCACAGAGCCTGCCTGCCAATTCAGCATCGAGTCGCGTGTGTCTACGTGATTTTTCTGAAGACTTAGCCTTAGGCTTAGGTACATTTCGGCTTGGTAAGTGTTTTGTGATGTTTCGCAGGCATGTTGGAGGCGTGAAATCTACGCACACGACGTGGACTTGCAGTTGACCCGGCACAACCCTGTCTCAGGAGATGAGTTTGGATTTGCAGGTCCCAGGGCAAGTCTGTTTAGAAAGATCCAAGCGGTCAGAAGAAGCCCAAGCTGCCGTCAAATGTGTACCCTAGTTCACCTTCGCACTGGCGCCAGACTGAGGCATTCAGATGGCATCAGTTCATACATTCCGAAAAGTCCAATCCGCTGCAGAGAAACGCGAAGTTGCGCGCAGCTTGGCTGGCAACGTGCATGAGGTCTAAAACCCATGTGCCAGCTCTGGAGCTTGGGGCTTCCTGAAGGTGATGGTGGTCCATGTGACAGGACATAGAAGCCGTTCAGTCTTCCATGCTACAACCAAGGTGTCCTCCATGCTTGGCGCGAGCTGCGGATCATCAGCTCCGAGGCCGGAGATAGCGAAAGCGCCTTGCTTGGCCGTTGCGCCCATCTAGAGTCCTTGGTTTTGTCCTTCTGGCACCAGACTCTGCAGTGCTCTGCAGGTTGCAGATGGCATCGCTGCAACACTCCGCACGCTCGGCGGCGAGGCTTCGCTCCTCAGACGTGCTTTGTTCTTGCAGGGCTCGGTCTTTGAATGGCGTCGCTCCACTTGCACCCAGGCAGTGGTGACAGTGTAGCATTTTTTGCGGTTGGGCTGTACGAATCCTCAACCGCTTACGATTGTCAACGACTTCAACGGCTGTCGGGAGTTCGCTGCCTGACTTCAGCTCTGGAGGCTGCCAGCCGAATCTTGGATGAAGCATCTGCCCCAGACGACGAGGATGATGAGCCGTATTCGATGCCCACAAGGGCACCTGGCCCAGACTCTCGGCACTTAGCCCCCCGAGTGCCAACCTCGCAAGTTTTCCTCCAACAAATTGCTCGATCCGAGTTTATGTGCTTGCAATCTCCTGGAAGTTACGGCAGGGACTGCCTTAATCGCTTCACATTGCAAGGATGTCACGTTACGAGCTCCGAATCTTCTTGAATAGACCCCACTGAGGATTCAGCTCTCAATCTCGCAAGACTAGCTTTACTCCAGGTGCCAGCGGCTACTCTGCGAGCCAAGGCAACTGCGGCTAAGGGCCAGCCACAGGCGGAACCGCCGACCAAGCGCGCCAAGGCCGGCCAGAAGCAGCAGATGCTTAGGTGACTTCGGCGTAGTTGCCAGACCGGATGTGTCGAACAAAGCTTCGTCAAACCTCTAGGTGGCAGCAGATATGAAATACTCACAAGAAAAGCCTCATTCGTAGCGGATGTCGTCCGATCTGTGGCCGAAATTGGAGTACTGAATTTCAAACTTCAATACTCTTTGCCCTGCAATGTGCAGGATACTCGGCCACATGCCTTGCAGTCTCTGCCGAAGGTAGCTTCTACGGCTACAGCCAGGGTGACTGCGGCGACCCCTGCACAGCCGCCGCGGACTGCAGAGAAGATCCTGGCCTTGGTAAAGAGGCCAGCAAGAGCGCTGCTTCTTGGCCATTTTGTCGGTGTCTCGTGTCTGGCCGTCGCTTCACTGTAGGTTTAGCCTGATGACTCCGTGTCGATCTGTGTGAACCTCAAGCCGAAACGAAAACGATTTGTGCTTCATCTGTATCCTAGGAGAATCTCTGTAACTTCTGTATCGCAGACTCAACACAGCAAGAGAGAAGCTCTGTCCTGCTACATGGGGTTGCAACGCACTTGCATCGGACAGGGAACGAGCACACGAGGTAGCAGAGGGAGTGCCCCCGAAGACACAATTCCTGACAAAGAGTGCCCATCGGAAGTTTATGCAGCACAAGAGATGCGTATGCCTCGAGGCTTGACGTTTTATCGCACGTTTCCGGATGCATCCGTATGTCTCGATAGAGAAACAGACTAGCTGACGCAGGCGGGAATGTTCAAGGTGATGCAGATTTGGAGTGAGAAGTGGTGCAGGTGAAGCTAGCACGACAAACTAATGTGTTGTTTTGTGTTGCTCAGGCTAGTCTTGTGGCGGCATATTGCTGAGGCATGTACTTTCCATCATGTGAGAACAGAGTCAACGGGATATCTGGTTTAGACCTCGTGCAGGATAATCGCCGCACCGGCAGAGCTACTTGGCACAATAGAAGCATCCACCGGGAGATGCTTCTGTACTAGTAGCGAGGAACGAGGGACAACTGTGTGTGCTAGCCACCTGCTAACCTTGATCACGACATCGAACGTGTCGCTGCTAAACCTCGAAGGTGTTTTTGCAGTTTTGCTAAAGCCAGCATGTTCTATCCGTGGCCATTACGGCTAGAACACCGTTGGGGGAGGAAATTTTCAGGGTACTGTGAGAAAGGAAACGGGGTCTAGAAGGGCACCACAGCCCTGGCTAAGTGAGGTGGAAGCCTTGCTAGATGCAGAGCCGCAGGCTGCCGGGGCACAGTCCCAGGGGAGCGGAGCACCACCGGACCCCGAAGCTACAAGGAAGCAGGACTGCCAGATCGTTGCTGGATCTACCTGCAAGGGCAAGGATACGGGAACCAAGAACTGAGTCTAAGAACTGGCTACAATCCGAGATGGGGAGATACCGGAGATGGCTGGGCAGTTAGCGGGTGAGCTGGGTATTCCTAACGCAGTGGATAATGGAGGCCAGAACCAAGGCACCCATGGAACTTCGTATTGCCGGCTCCCTCAAGGAGAATCTGTTTTGGATGGGAGACGCACCGCTAAACAGGGCGAAGACCGAGGAGCCTGCCGACCCAAGTGGACTGCAGGAGAAGCCTCCCCCGGGGGAAAGGAGGAAGAAGCTCGTCCTCGAGGGAAGCTAGAAATGAACGCCTTCTGGAGGTCTGGACCGGATGCCTCCATGAGGAGCTAAAGCAGTGCCGAGCCCCGGTCGTGGAACAGCGGTAGTGTCGACCCAAAGTTGGCTGCTAGCCTTCTTGCTGGAAGCATGCGGGCACCTGGCGATCTTCAAGAGGTGCTGGCTATGGCTATGGGAGGCGAAGATGCGGCGACCACCGGGCCGGCCAGCAGGCTTGGTCGATTACCCGCTAGCCCGTCGAGATGAACCTTGCGGCTGATGGGTACCTGAGGCCGTGCTAACGTCTGTCACGTGGCTGGAAAAGCTGGCTGGCCGAGGTGCCACCAGAAGAGAACGCAACCTATGGTCGGGTGGCGTTGGCCACCAAAGATAGCATCACCGAGGAGCTTTCCCAGGACACCCCGCCAATCAAGCAGGCTCCGCGCTATCCGGTCTATGTGCTTGTGGGTTTTGATGCGCTGGTCGTCGACATGAGAAGGCTAGTGGCTACAGAGTCCGGCCGATTTTCAAGCCATCCTCCCACACGAGCTCCGGCTAGTGGAGGGGAGGCTGACCACTACGCCTCTGGCCCAAACAAGAAGGTCAAGGAGCTACCTGTGTGTGTCGCCGAGCATGCTTTCTTCAAGGAGAAGGACTGGCTAAAGGTGTGATTCCACCTGCTATAGGAGCTTGCCCCCTACAAAAGGGATTATCTCCTACCACGTTTGGGAGACCGGCGCCAGCTAGAGAAGAAGATCGCCGAGTACCCCGACGCGCGCGTGGCCAGCAGCCTTGCTACCGCAGCTTGGGCTACCTTCCGTTGTCCAGGGATTCTGGGCCTCTCACTGTGCGGGGCTCTCGCTACAGGAGACCCCTCTGTGGACAAAGACCTGCTGGGCCGCTGGAAGCCTGAGAGTTCAGACAGCTACGCTAGGACCAACCCCGATTCGAAGGTTGGCAGGCGGGCTATGTGAGGCGGTGAGTGCGCGTTTTTGCTAGAAGTGCCCGCCAAGGAGCACTCGGCGCTACGGCGGTCAAGCAGTGAGTGCAGTCCGGCAAGGACACGCTGGAGGGCGTGCTCCGGGGTAGGCTGCACAGTTGCACACGGAAGAGCCAGGGCACCTCGAAGCAGAAGTTCCCCAGCGACTCCCGTTACAGCAACCGCCTACAGCTTGAGGACTTAGGTGCGCCAACCTCAGGTCCACACAAAGGCAAGAGGCCTGCATCCATGTGACAGTGCTCCCACTACTTACTGGTTAAGGGCTTCCGGACTGTAGCGTTCCACCAAAGGTGCTTCGGAGTGAGTTACAGCAAGCCAACAAGGCTGTTGCTAAAACGCCTTTGCAGCTAACGTCTTTCTGCTACGAAGGGCGGCCAACCTTCGACAATGACGGCTTCTACCAAGGACCGCTACCAGCTCCAGCGAAACCTGCTAGCATGCTACGCAGACGAAGCTCCACCGGTTTTGCTACAGCGGGCACTGAGGCATGGTCACCACACATCTGCAGCTGGTTGTTTGTTTTATGCTGCAAACGTTGGCCTCTGCTACGACTGCTTCGAAGGGTCTTGAGGGTGCCACTGTGCAGCCGAGCCCCGGGCCGCTACCACAGCCTTCGACTAGCCTTCGACTGACCGGGGCTACTCCTAGGCTACGCCACGGCGGTGGTGGCAGGTGGGAGGCTACACAGACTTCCTCGACGTCAACAAGCTGGGATCGGAAAAGGAGCTAGAGAGGGAGCCCTCCCGAATGGCTTCCGGTGGCCCGGCGGCCGGCGGTTGCTCCCTCGCGCCCGGGGCTACAAGGAGAGCTACGTGAAGTTCGGAGAGCGACTAGAGGCGCAGCGCGGCGACCCGAAGCTGCTTGACATTGCTGAAGGCCAGCCCCTCTACTTGCGGCTAATCCGCGAACCTCCTGCAGGCGGCGGGGGACCGCGATAGAGAGTTCCTCCTCTGAGCCGAGTCGGGGCTACCGGTGAAAATCCTTGACCCGCTACCCTGTACACCAAGCGTGTGCGAGGAACAGCTAAAGTGGCCGCTCGAGAACGTGCCGTGGAAGGCCTCGCTAGCGTGGGTGCTCAACTACGCCTCGATCGAAGAGCACCGCAGTTTTGCTAAGGATAAATTCGACAAAGACGTGGAAGTCTCACGCTAAAGATGTCGCTACAGGAGTTTGTCCAGAGATACGGGGACGATAGAGCGATTGCTGCGCTAGCTGTCATCGTTAAGGATGAAGCCGCTAACAAGAGGCGGATCATCTGTGACGCTACTCATGGAGTCCGGGTGAACCTCCTCTTAGGCCTCTCTGCTAAGCGTGTGGGGTGGCTCGTCGCTTGGCTGCGTAACGCAGTGGAGACGGGCTACATCACTGCTTTAAGGAGATGGCTCAAGGCCTTGGGAGACTTGGCTTTGCAGCTATGTCTCTAGATTGGGAGAAGCCTTTTCTAGGCCCGCTGTATGCTTGTTCCTCAGCTGTCAGGGCTGTCAGGGACCGCTAAAGGTACCCACCATGCTGCGGGTGCTCGGAAGCTGGATTGCAGATCGCTCATATGTACCCTGAACACATATAACACCGCACGCATTATATTACACATACCCTATAGGACACTCTATGCAAGACACTATATAGAATATCTTGCAGGATGTCCTTTAGAATACTTTCTCTATGTATCTTAAAACTTTTCAGATGGAATGCACTGATATAGAATACCCTCATGCCTTATTGAATACCCTAGAGCCTCTAGAATACCTTATCATATACTTTCAATCACAGCCTGTATATCTCTTGAATATCTAGAATACCTCACAAAATACGACATAGAATACCCTACAGAATACCTTATGGAACACATCGTACCCTCTATATATCGTGCGCCTCATGGAAGACCGTCTGGAATACTCTATAGAAGACCTTACAGGATGCCCCTATGCCCTATACATGACAGTCGTTGTATACAGTATATATACCATGAACCCATATAACATTTAGTGGCTCAAAACCAAACTTTTCAACTTTTGGCCCCTAATAAGGTAATCTTGTTGCGAAAGTTTAAACTTCTTACACCCCCATAGGGATATGGGAAGTAAGAGTACCTATAGATAACCTTTCAACGAGCCCAAAATCTGAGAACCCCTCATAAAGAAGCAGCCTATTGGGTAAGGGATTTCTAGGAGTGATCCAGGAGTCGAGGAGAATAACCTAAAGAATACCACAAACCTCAAAGAATTTAGTACAGGTGACCCTAGGTAATACGTTATAGAATATCCCCTATATACTTCATAGATACCTTCTTGAGTACCCTCTAACCGTAAATCCTATACATTACGTTATAGAACACGTTCTGTAAGATAATCTTTACGTTCATGTTGATGCCTTGTACAATCCCTTATACAATGCGTTATGGAGTACCCGATAGAGAGCCCAAAAAAACGTTACATACTTGGCCTTTTATAGGCCTTGTACGATATCATTTGCAATCCCCTACCGAATAGCTTACAGAATACACAATATCTATGATACCCTCTGAGTACCCCATAGGAAGTCCTAAAGAAAACCTAACGGATATTCTATAACATACCCGTAGAATGCACCATCGAATGCCTTGTAGAATACTTTATAGATAACGGATTAATGGCAGGATAATCAGGAGCAGAATGCTCCGCGCTGTACCTGCTATGTGCCCAATGAAGAAATCAAAAACAAGAGCATATAGAACACCTTGCACGATACTCCTTCTTTACATCTTAAAAATTTCGTATAGATACCCATAGATTATAGAAACCTTTTATACCTTTATGAATCCTGTTGAATACCCGTTGGTTTTTCACCAATATTCACAGACCAAAAAATGAACGCTCTCCATCATTTTGAAAAACCACTCACCAACACGCAGCACTCGAGATCCTGGTAAACACGTTCGGCACATAAAATTCAAATTCCTCAACCCTGAACCTGAAACCCCGCCCACTTGGGACGAAGCGGGATTGCAGTCAAGCGGCCCTGATTCAACTCAATCGGCCCCGATTGAACTCAATCGGGGGCCAGATTGAAGATTGAAGATTCCCGGCGCCCGATTCAATTCAATCGGCCTCGATTGAACTCAATCGCGGGCCGGATTGAAGATTGAAGATTCCCCGGCAAAGTTTTCGAGGGAATCTTCAATCTTCAATCCGGCGCGCGATTCAACACAATCGGCCCCGATTGAACTCAATCGGGGGGGGGGGATTGAGTTCAATCGGCCAGATTGAACTCAGTCGGGCCAGGGTGGAGTTCACCCAACCACCAAACGGTCCATCGGGTAGGCCCTCCCCTCAAGGATCTTCC